TTTTTCTGAAGACCCCCACTGAAAACAAGCAAACAAACAAATACATTTATATATATATATATATATATATATATATATAATTCTTTTTTTTAAATATTGCCCAGGCCTAGATGCCAAAATATATAAATAAATAAAAAACAACAACAACAAAAACGGTGTATATACTTAAATTTTCTTCCATGCTCACCTGGCAGTGTGTTGTAGTCATCAATGAGGAACATATGTTCACTGTCAGGGTCAGAAGCGATGAGGTTGAGCTCCCTCAGGAACTCGGCCTGCGTTGGGTCAGAAGTGTTCACGATTCCCAGCGCATACATCTCAATATTGGCCACTTGAGCCTCACGTACTGCCATATCCAGCTTAACGGGTTCTCTTTTATCCGTCTGTCCATCTGTAATGACGATGGCTACTTTTCTGACCCCGTTCCTGGCACTGTAAAAGGCCTCTTGTGTGGCTTTGCGGATGGCGGTGCCAGTATAGGTGCCCTCTCCCATGTAAGGCATGTTCCTGATCGCCTTCTTGGCATCCTGCTTGGTCATATACCTGGCCAGGTTGAACTCCAGATGGATGTCCAAGCTGTAAAGAACCAGACCAATTCTCGTGGCATTACGGCCCACTGTGACGCGGTCCACTAAAGCTGTGACAAAGTCCTTGATGATCTCAAAGTTTTCCGGGCCCACGCTTTCAGAGCTGTCGATCACAAACACCAGCTCCATGGGCCTTTCCTTGCACTTAATACCACATCCTAGAATTATGCGAATCATATCATGACACACCTGTTATTTCATGATCAAGTCATTTGTTTTGTCATATTTAAAGAGTAAAACTCACCACAAATCTCCTTAATCAGCTTGATTATGTCTTCTCTCTGAAACAATAAAAAAAATGACTTAATTTGCTAATATTTACAATGCATACGGTTGCATAGTTTTCCTAAAATCAACACATCAGCTTGATTATGTCTTCTCTCTGAAAAATAATTAAACAATTACTGTATTTACAAATATTTACAATGCATATGATTGCATAGCTTTCCTAAAATTAACTCATTAATCAGCTTGATTGTCTTCTCTTCCAGAAAGCATTGAAAAATGACTTGATTTACTAATATTTACAGTGTATATGGTTGCATAATTTTCCTAAAATTAAATCATTAATATTTACAATGCATACATTTGCATAGTATTCCAAAAATTTACTCCTTAATCAGCTTGATTGTCTTCTCTGAAAAATCATAAAAAAACGACTTAATTTGCTAATATTCACAATGCATATGGTTGCATAATGTATGTTTTCCTAAAATGAACACATTAATCTGCTTGATTATGCCTTCTGTCTAAAAAAAAAATCATTTAAAAAATGACTAAAAAATTTCAGAATTTAGTAATATTTGCAATGCATATGGATGCACAGGTTGTCAAAAATTAACTCAAAATACAGTTGAAAAGATGCGAATGCATTTGATCTTACCGTGAGCCCTTGTTCGCCCTTGATTCCTGGTCTTCCCTAAAGGGAGAGATTAAAACAATCATTAAACAAGCTGATTTACAATGTGATTTAGTATTCACATTTCAACTCTGTCTGCTCTGACACAGAAGATGGTTTATAGTGAGTAAATTAATTTACAGCTAGTCCTGGATTCCCTGGGTCACCCATGTCACCTTTCATTCCTTTAAAGCCCCTCTCGCCCTGCAAACCACGATCACCCTACAGGACACAGAGATTTACAGATTAATCAAAGGGCTCATATCATACATTTTAACTGATAATTTAATTTTTATTTCTGAAGTACATGCATAAGAGATTATTTTTCATCAAAAATAGTCATAATTCATTTTTTAATTATGTTTTCTGACCCATATTTACCCATTTATAACTACCCCATCCTCTTTTGTTAGTATGATCTAAACCAAAGTCTCACCTTGGAGCCTGGAAGTCCCTCTCCCGATGGGCCCCTCGGCCCTGTCACTCCAGGAGCCCCCTGATCACCCTGATGGATTTAACAAACAAGTTTATTTTCTGACCAGGTCATCATGACTTGGACACAATGCTATTACGTCTAGAGCTGGGCAATATTTTGAATATTAATGATTATACTGCTAATATAAAATGACATATTTGTCATTGTCATATTTTGTGTCTTTTGTCATATTTTCTTTGTCAATATCTCTTTTTTTTTTTCTTTTGTTTTGTAAGAATATTCAGTCGTTATTTATTCACTCTAATGTTGTTCCAAACCTGACTTTCTGTGGAAAGTAGGTTTCCACACACTTCTATTAAATGGACCAAAACTGTTTGGTCACCAACATTCTTCAAAAAAATTAAATTAAATTAAATTAAATTAATAAATAGAAATAAACAAAGAAATATCCAGGCTGAATATCACCAAACTGGTGAAAAATATATAATTTTAGCTATATCGCCCAGCCCTATAAAGCAGTTAGTAGATAGTTAACCTACTTTGGGTCCCTGAATACCTTCCCCTGGGGGTCCTTGTGGTCCTGCAGGACCTGGTCTTCCCATGTTGCCCTGAAACAGCAAGACAGCAGAATTAATATTGGAGGAACAGACGGCTTGTCTTCCTCAATCCCCACAGCAACACAGACAGACTCCCTATGCATGCTGTTCAGAGCTCTTGTTCTGGACATGTGGGGCGTTCAGTATCAGTTTCCTTACTGTAGTCAGGGAGATTTGTGGTTTTATGTCAGATGACATGAATATGAATATCTTACCGGTGGTCCCTGCAGTCCTTCACCAGGTGGTCCTGGCAAACCAGGCAAACCCCTGAATCCGATGTCTCCCTGAAATGAAATTGAAGTTTTACCAAAAGCACCATTTAAAATTATTCCTACTATGCAGGACATTTTCATGTTCTCGTCATATATATGACTTAATATATGTGACCCTGGACCACAAAACCAGTCTTAAGTCGCTGGGGTATGTTTGTAGCAATAGCCAAAAATACATTGTATGGGTCAAAATTATTGATTTTTCTTTTATGCCAAAAATCATTAGGATATTAAGTAAAGATCATGTTCCATGAAGATATTTTGTAAATTTCCTACTGTAAATATATGAAAACTTAATTTTTGATTACTAATATGCATTGCTAAGAACTTCATTTGAACAACTTTAAAGGTGATTTTCTCAATATTTTGATTTTTTTGCACCCAAATATTACAGATTTTCAAATAGTTGTATCTCAGCCTAATATTGTCCTATCCTAATCCTATTATTTCGAAAAATTGACCCTTATGATTGGTTTTGTGGTCCAGGGTCACATATTTAACTTGAATATATTGAGTATTTCTGAAATAATTGCCACTCAGTCATTAGTCTGCTTTGTTGTATCACAATAACACACTTATGAGTGAATTTTAATACTTTACTAATAGTTTGTAAACTGTGAAACAATCCATTATGAGTGATACATTTACAGAAATCAGTTTGAAAAAATCATCATTTCAAAGGATGGTTAAAAATATTAATAAATTAACTTCAGTCCTTCTCAAAGCAATGACTAACTTAGGCAATTTATTTCCATTCTGTTCGTTTTCTTGTTATTGTGTAAATAATCAAGTCATATTTAATAAAGTTGAAGTGTCTGAACACATTTCTGAAAGCCACAATTGATCCTCATACATCATCATAAATACATGAAGTGTTAACTTCACCTTCGGTCCAGGAACACCAATGCCTTCAGGGCCGGGCTCACCCGATGGTCCTGGTAAACCAGGCAGACCCTGTGTAAAATAAACACACATGCTCAAATACCCAGCAACAAACCTGATTATGGGAACTATAAAATGACTTAAAATTTTAAGTGATGGGCATGCAGTGATGTTATATGGAAATAGGGATGTAAAAAGTTGCTTACCACTGGACCAGGGAATCCTTCACCTTTAGGCCCAAATGGTCCGGGCGGTCCCGGGTTACCTCGATCACCCTAAATGTGATAAGGAAGATTTTTTTAAATGTTTTTGAAAGGAGTCTTTGCTCACCAAGGCTGCATTTTTTAAATCAAAAATACAGTAAAAACAGTAATATTGTGAAATATTTTTACATTTTAAAGCACCAGCTCAGCATATTAGAATGATTTCTGAAGGATCATGTGACACTGAAGACTGAAAATGTTTTTGAAAGGAGTCTTTGCTCACCAAGGCTGCATTTTTAAAATAAAAAATACAGTAAAAACAGTAATATTGTGAAATATTTTTACATTTTAAAGCACCAGCTCAGCATATTAGGATGATTTCTGAAGGATCATGTGACACTGAAGACTGGAGTAATGATGCTGAAAATTCAGCTTTGATCACAGGAATAAATTACATTTTACAATATATTCAAATAGAAATCAGTTATTTAAATTGTAATAATATTTCACATTATTTATTTATTTTTATCAAATAAATGTAGCCTTGGTGAGTATAAGAGACTTGTTTCAAAAGCATAAAAAAATATGACAATTGTCTATATTAAAAAGTTTGCTGTTTTATGATTAGCATAATCAAAATCTTTCATTATAAAAAGCATTTCTTTCAAAAACATATTTAAAAAACTCTAAATTTTTCCACACTTTTGATCAGTAAAAAAAAAAAAAAAGCTATATAGAGCTGTTTTATGATTAGCATAGTCAAAATCTTGTTATTTCAATACATTTTTTTCACAATCATTACAAAACATTAAAAAAGCTACATATTTAAAAATCTGAATTATACTATACTTTTGATTGGTTATATATATATATATATATATATATATATATTGCTCAATCAAATTCTCTTATTCCTTTTACTCATTTTCTTAATTGTTCTTCAGGTTAAAAAGTTCCACCCACCTTTGGACCAGGCAGACCGTAACCAGTCTCTCCAATCGGTCCGGGAGGACCAGCGGGACCCACATCACCCTGAAGGCACGAGGAGATAAGGTCATACCATTACTTCTCTGTTTTATTGCTAAGTTGGCTATGATGAATCTTGAAATAGAAACGTTCTGATTCATAGTGTTGGCAGTGGGCTGTTAACACAACGACGGCCTGCCAGCCTGTAGGAGTGGCACAGTTAAAGTAGCTTGGCTTTTGTTACCTTTGATCCTGCAAGAGCTCGTCCAGGTAATCCTGGCATGCCCAGCCTTCCTGGCGTACCTGGCTCTCCCTAAAAATCAACAGTGTAATGTTCCAATGATGTAACTGCATTACTTCTAAAACTATGTGAGAAGCCACAGACATTTATTGCACTGTTACTTCAAACAATGAGCTGTTTTGTAAGCTTGGAGTCAAAAAACAAAAAAATCAGGCGTTTTTTTAAATTTCATCTTTTTGTTTTAATTTAAATATTATTATATTTATATTTATTCTTTATTGTTTCCATGCTTCCCTATAGAGCACAACAGTAAGGTTCTGGAAATAGAAACCTCATTCCTTTTCTCCCTACACTCTTTTGTATTTGCAAACATTTTAATATTTTGCTGTAAACATACATTACCGTTCAAAAGTGTTGGTAAGATTTTTGTAAAATGATCAAATATGATCAAAATTACAGTTAAAACAGTAATATTGTAAAGTACTAGTACAATTTAAAATAACTATTTTGTGGAAACGGTGATACTTTTTCTAAGGATTCTTTGATGAATCATGATGAAGTCTTTGAAGTTCAAAAGAACAGCTTTTATTTAAAATCTTTTGTAATATTATAAATTCTTTACTGTCACTTTTGATGAATACACATTCACTCTTGTATTTTTCTGATTTTCAAATACTTTCAATCGAAGTTCATAATGCTGCAGTTCTCTGACTTGGTTGCTTTAGTTCACAGCTTAGTTTTTTAACTCGTTATTTAATACTTTTTGGAGAAAAACTTAAAATACTTCCAGAACCAAGGTTGCGCTCTATTTCTTTAGATATTCTCACCTTTGGTCCCGAAGGGCCACTTATTCCGGGAGGACCTGGCAACCCTCGAATGCCACGTTGGCCTTGATCTCCCTATTAAGATTAGAACAGAGAATATCAGTCAACATATACTGAAGATGATGATACTAAAGTATTTTTTGACATCCACTAGATGACAATCACAAGATACCCAAAATCTGAACATATTGAATATTAAAATGTTTAATGAGGAAAGTATTGTACCTTCTCTCCTTGAGTGCCAATTCCTGGAGCCCCCTCAGTTCCCCTCAAACCTGTTGCCCCAGGCTCACCCTGATGAAGAGAAACACAATGCATTTAATATCCGGGAAACTTGCTTATTTGCTTAGAGACATATCTAATCAGCAGAACACAGTCAGAGTTACCTTTTGTCCTGGAGCTCCGTCCTCCCCAGGAAGTCCAGGTACACCAGCCAGTCCATATGCACCAGGTTCACCCTGAAGAAATCATATCAGTACTTAGTACCACCTTCTAAAGTCTTCATTATGGTCTAAAAACTAGCTTCCATCCTAAATGTCCCATACATTTTGTGAGCCTACACCACCCCGGATTTAAGAACACAAACCTTTGGTCCAGGTTCGCCCTGCCCTCTCTCTCCCGGGGTGCCCATCTCTCCTGGTAAACCTTGTTCTCCCTAGAAAAATAGTCAAAAATTGAGCCAAGAACAAATTTCCTTTTATAGCTTGCCATTAATTATAATCTTTACTACCAACCTTGGAACCAGGGAAACCCTCTCCCGGTAGTCCTCTTCCTCCTGGAGGCCCCCTCGGACCCTCAACACCCTGATTGTAAGAAATGTAAGAAATATATGAGAAATCTAATTTTGCATTTTAAAAAAATTCATAAGTTCATACATATGTAAAAGTTCATACATACATATGTTATACCTAGGTGTGTGTGTGTGTCAAAAGGATACTACCAGTCAAAAGTTTAGAATAATTATTTTTTTATATATTTTTGAAAAAGGTCTTTACAAAGGCTACATTTATTTGATCAAAAACACAGTTAAAACAGTAATATTGTGAAATATTATTACAATTTAAAATAACTGTTTTCTATTGTAATATATTTGAAAATGTAGTTTATTCCTGTGATGTAAAGCTGAATTTTCAGCATCATTACACCAGTCTTCAGATTTCCTTCAGAAATCATTCTAATATGCTGATTTGATGCTTAGTTATTATCGATTTATTAACAAATATTAAAGGGGTCATGCTATTTTAAAGATCATTATTTTGTGTATTTGGTGTAACAGAATATGTTGACATGCTTTAATGTTCAAAAAACACATTATTTTTCAAATACTGTACATTATTGTAGGTCCTCTATGCCCCGCCTCTCTCAAACACGTCGTTTTCAACAAAGCCCCCTCCTTTGACAAGCACAGTCTGCTCTGATTGGCCAGCTGACCCAGGGCATTGTGATTGGCCGAACACCACAAGCACGCGTCGGAAATGCAATGCCCCTTACTATAATCGCGAGCTTCAGCTTTCAAAATAAATCTAAAGACAGAGCCCGAAACGGGAAAAGAGTCGCGTGACAGACACAGTGATGATACAGTACACAAGCCGCGGTTAAGACAGCGGACGTGCTATGATTTCTGACAGGCAGTTCAATCTCCTGTGATGTGACCCTGTTCCCCACACACACACACACACACGACGCGATACTCTACACGGCGCAAAACTCCGCATTTGAACAGTCAATAGCAAATACTTAAACTAATAACAAAACATACTTACAGTCGCTGATTCAGAAGCGCCAGATTGTCATAGCAAAGTCAGAATTACCTCCTCTCCTAGGTTCACGAAACGGTCGTCCATAAAATGCATTGCTGTTCTGTTGTAAGTAATCTTAAAGATTCCTAAATGCATCTACTTCCGGAAGGCCAAATAAAGTGCTTTTGCTTTCGCCTAGAAACACACAGCGTCTCCCTGACATGCTGCTTCAACACTAACTGCGGTTACTGAAACCACGCCTTCTTTCTTTGCGTGAACATTTGGGCCGCATTATGCAAATATTTCCACATAGTGAGGTAGATATGGGGGGGCGTGTTAGAACGAGCCGTTTTAGGGGGGCGTGGCAGAGTCTTAACTTTGATAAAGAATATCTCTTTGGTTTTGAGACTTTAGTCTTTGCAACTTCAGGGATCTTATCTATGCACAATCAGCTTGTAACACTCCAAAGAGAAAGGAAAACTTGAAATCGCATCATATAACCCCTTTAAACCTCTTCCTGTGATGTAAAGCTGAATTTTCAGCATCATTACACCAGTCTTCAGATTTCCTTCAGAAATCATTCTAATATGCTGATTTGATGCTTAGTTATTATCGATTTATTAACAAATATTAAAGGGGTCATGCTATTTTAAAGATCATTATTTTGTGTATTTGGTGTAACAGAATATGTTGACATGCTTTAATGTTCAAAAAACACATTATTTTTCAAATACTGTACATTATTGTAGGTCCTCTATGCCCCTCCTCTCTCAAACACGTCGTTTTCAACAAAGCCCCCTCCTTTGACAAGCACAGTCTGCTCAGGAAAACTTGAAATCGCATCATATGACCCCTTTAACAAAGGATCTTGTTATTATTATCAATGTCAAAAACATCTTGTAGTATTTGCTGCTGACTTTTTTGCGGAAACTGTAATACATTTTTCTAAGGATTCTTTGATAAAGTTCAAAATTACAGCGTTTATTTGAAATAAAAGTATTTTGTAATATTATAAATGTCTTTACTGTCACTTTCGATCAATTTATTAAAATGTAAGTCTTTTATTATTATTGTTTTAATATTACTTAAACCAAACATTTGAGTGGTAGCGTATCAGTTTTCAAATTGTTAATAATAAGAAATGTTTCTTGAGCAGCAAATCAGCATATTCGAATGATTTCTGAAGGATCATGTGACTATTTATCTGACTATTTGTTATGACAAGGTGCAGTTTAGCTGATGAGGACAGCATATATTTTATAAACAAAAAAAATGCATGTCCATTCATGTACATTTCCTCAATTCATTAGACCCTGTGAATAAGTCAAGGACAGTTAAGAACACATCATATCACCTTTTCTCCCTGAATGCCAAGCCCTGGGAGTCCAATCGGTCCTGGTAAACCTGGAGGCCCAAGCTCACCCTGAAGACACAAAGAGGATGAGTCAGTTTCGGATAGATTAATACATCCTGAGATTTAACTGACGGGAATAATAATCTGTATATTTTGAGCATAAGAAATGACTGGGGTTTTATTCAGTACTATAGGTGAGCAGGACTCATCTTTTCCCACAGTAAGCTGAGCTGTACCGCCCTCCCATCTGCTCTTTCTCGCTCTTTATTACCGTCCAATCAGTACTGGTGTTTAAATGGGAACTTTGGGCCAGTTTACATACTTCATTAAGCCTTTTGTGTGTCATAGATGGTGTGGTTGTGTGAATTCCATTCATGGGCTGATATATTTACAGCCCACCTTGTCGCCTTTGATTCCAGTGCCCTGCTGTCCTCTTGGTCCCTTCGGCCCCTCCAGACCACGGTCCCCCTGTCAAACAAAAGAGGCGTCATCAGCCCAGTGTTGCTGAAATGCTAACCTCCCTTTCTCTGCCATTCAGATGCATTTAGTGCACTGCATGTATTGTTTCTTCGTCTATGAGATTTAGAAAACACCTGTTTTCCCAACTGGTAATAATACAGTGCAATTCCTCAGTGAGCCTTAATTGTTGATTATACAAAGTGGCTCGATTAGGTTGCACTCATAAGGATTAAATTAGAGCCAATCCAGGATTTGTTGATCTTGGTTTTATTTTAAATTTGACTTGTGTTGCACCAATTAATTTCTGAATAGTAATTAAAATTAAATGAATTCCAGTGATATTTTGTTAATATTTTAAATGAGCTTTTATTTTAAATTTAATTTATTTTTATTTGTTCTTATTTTATTTAGTTTGTCATTTTTTGTACTTCAACTTAATATTTTAAATGAACTTTTATTTATAATATTATAAATATATTTATAAATATATAAAAAAAAACATTTATTTAGTTTTAGTAAATTTAGTACTTAAACATATTCACTAACTTTTTTTTGTTTTTGTTTAAGTTAAAGTTTTTCTTAAACATACTTTTTTATTTCAGCTTTATTGCAATTACTGAAAACTTTTTTTAATGGTTTTAGTTGCAGTCAACGATAACACTGCTTATTATTTCTTATGGTCACATGCATTTAATTGGTAAATGTTAGCAGAAAAATAAACTGATTGGAGAAACTAAACACTGATAGGAGAAGCCAAGTGTTATCATTTTTGCAATAATTCCCTTAATGATAATGATGAAGGACTATTATAAAATGTTATGATAATGTCCACAATGCATTTGATATATCTAGAGCACTTATGAATCCAAAGCAATAAATTTCTTTCTCTGGAAAAATAAATTAATGATACATCTTAAAAATGTTCCTCCCCTCCTCCTAATACCACCTGACACTGATTTGTAATAACAAGTAGCAAATTATAATTAATGTCTATGAGGTAAAGTAAAGCCTGTTGGCTATTTAAAGAAATGGACGAACCCTTCAATATGCCCCGGCCCAAGATCCTGTTTTAATAGGACATTTGTCAACACAGGAAAGAAAACTGTACTTAAGATATCTCATGGGTATGTTTTAATAATTAACTTCAGAAGCAAAAATGGTGTTAGAGCTGGTAAGTTCAGTTCATTCCTGTGAATCATTTCAGATTCATTAAAAACTTGATTTGCATCATCATGAATACTGAACATCATCATAAATCTGAAAAGAATTGAGATCTAATTTAGTTTAGCTACTGGAAGAAGGTTTTCAAACCACTGAGGTTCTCTTTGACATGAATCACATTTCTTTGCTGTATTTTTAATTTACGATTACATTTTATATGCAGTTCTGGCTTTGATGTAGACCTAGTTAGACTGCTAACATTAGACAGATTACAAAGAGTATTTATAGAGGTCCAAGAAAACGGATCCATTAAATTCTGTCTTGCATCCTCAGGCTGGTAATGCGCTCAGCTAATTTATCTGGAACATACAATAATTAATAGCCTTGGGTTTTGAAATGAGGATTTACCAGGGAACTTTGAGCCTCTAATGAGGTATTATAAAAATGACAAGTCTTTAATGCATTTGTTTACTTGGATCTTCTCAGATTGCCTTTGGCTGCTTCACATCTCCAGGAAGATTAAAGAGCAGAGAGTGACTTTAGTGAGAACATGGCGTTTTTGGGCTAACCTTACCTTTGGACCTGGAAAACCCTCTCCTAGTGGTCCTTTCTCCCCTTGAACCCCCTGTGGCCCTTGAGGCCCCTGATTTGATGAAGAAATGTGAGGAAAAATGGCATATAGTCAAATCTATGGTTGTAAATTCAGTGTGTGCTGATTAGTAAACAGTTGAATATTTCTGAATTTCTGCTTCTATACTTACAGACAGACCTGGCTCGCCTATGCCAGGTGGACCCGAAGGACCTGGTCTCCCCTGAAATCCCATATCGCCCTGCAGACGGATCAAAGACGTGAACAATTCAGACGTGAGAATAAGTAAGAAAATCTCTATAGAAAATAACAGCATATCTGAGAATCCACAACCAGTACCATCCATGTCATCTAAAAAATGCACAATGAAAATATTGAGAAATTAACCCTGCAGGCCTGACATGAAACCTTTAGACAAATTATAAAGAAATATAAAAAAGTTTATATATTTTTTTGTTGCGTATCATTTTTGATACATCAGGCTTTATGGCTCACATGATATGGGAGAATATGGAGCTCATACTTGAGGAAGAACAACACCTTTTATTCAGAGGCCCAAACTGAGCAAAAATATGCATTTTGGTGCAGATGCTGATATTTATATGCATAACATGCATAGACATATCAGCTTTCACTCTATATCTCCCAATAATATGTCTTAATAAGATGATATTCAAATGCTTAGTTTGATAATCAATGCTCTGTAGTTTCAAAACATACAGTATAATGCAATGCAATACAATGATGATTGAGAGATGAACAAATAAATGTTCCTCAAAAGCCCAATAGATCATATTTGATACATTATTAATATGATTTTTCTAATAAATGATGTATGGATAATTAAGTAAACCTAAGTTGCTTCAGTTCAGTAAATGTTCATCTTGAAATGTTACTAACAATATAAAAGCTATTCTTACGTTTACTGTATAAAAATCAATAACGTTTTCACAGCAAAAATACACGTGAACCACAACCTGATGTTGGACATTTTTACAATTATACTAAAACGCCTTTTACTTGCTAAAAAAGTATAAACTATTAATCGGACGGCATGTAGTAGATTGTGTGCAACAGGTTTTTAAGCAAAGTTTTGATCATGTTGATCATTTAGAGGCCTTAAAAATTTGTGTATCAAATATGATACAGTAGGTTTTATAGGGTTCTCGGTGAAAGTGGCTCATTGACCATGGAAAGCCAAAGGGAAAAAAAAACATCTTAAACCAGCCAAGCAGTTGTTATGATGGTTTAGCTGGTAAAACCCACTAAAGCCAGTAAATCAACTTTCCCCCAGCGTTAAAGTCTGATTGCTTGCTGCGATTTTGGAGAATTTAAGTGGATTTGAAGTCAAAATAAGTAAATACTGTGGAAGTCAAAAAAAAAGTGGAGTCAAAAAAGTAAATACAGTTGACCTTTGGTCCAGGAAGTCCAATTCCACTGTCGCCCTGAATTCCAGGTGGGCCAGCAGGGCCGCGCTCACCCTGTGATTAATTACAAACAAAAACAACTGATTAGATAGATCTAATTCATTAAACATCACATTCATTATTTCTCATGGAAGACATTTCTCATTGTGTGAAATCTCACATAGATTCATACAGAACCTCAAGACATTTCTGAGTTTCTTATAAGAAATTCATTCAGCTACATCAACAGAAGTGAGTATAAGGGTTTTTTATGAATCTTTGCAAATCGCCTTTCCTAATAACGTGCTAGTTAGCCAGTTGTTTCACGGCTGAAGTTTAGAGAAGGGTATAACTGCAGCCTGGAGATCTCCAAATGGGGGCGGGAACTCCAAAACGGGATGGGAGCTCCAAAATAGGGCGTGGCTTCCTCCCATTGACAGACAGGCACATGACACGCATGCGCACTTTTTCCCCCAATCCACTTCAGTGCAAACTCCGCCCCACAGCTGATTCTAAAGATTTTATTGGTTGTGTCAATTAAAGTGTTGATTTTCTACATGCTACAAAAATGCTAACCCCTAAACCTACCCCACACCTGACCCTAAACTTAACTAGTGAAATTGACTGCACATTTGCCCTCACTGTTGAGGGATTGGCGCTGAATAGCGTGGTAAAGAAAGATGCAGTTCAGGAGATAAACAGTTAATAAGATTATGCGATATGAGATCGTTCCGTAACTCCCCAACCAGACCTCACCGGACAATGGCACCTTTTTAGTTACACCCAGCGTCACTACCCCCTCCTACCCTTCTCCGGTCTTTATATCTACTTGGAAGTTTACACGGAAGAGAGGGGCGGGCTGAGCAGAGCTCATTATCATTTAAAGCAACATGGACTAGAATGGCTTGCTGAAAACAGAGCTGATTTTGACAGGGTAAAAAAGGTGTTTTTTACACTACCATTGAGAAATTTTAACCAAAGTATGCAATAGACTTTTCATTAAGACCCTAAAGAATCATATCAACTTGTGGAAAATGGGCATCCGATGACCCCTTTAAGGTGAAAAATGAGAGAAATCAGGTCTCAGGTATGTATTTATTTAAAGGGAAAGTTCCCCCAAAAATGACAATTTTGCCATAATTTATTCACTCTCGTTGTACCAAACCTGTTTTTTTTCATTTGAAGAATGTTAATCAAACAGTTGCTGGTAGCTATTGACTTCCATGGTATTTTTTCCATACGATGGAAGTCAATGGCTACCAGCAACTGTTTTCCAACATTCTTCAAAATACCTTCTACTGTGTTCAAGAGAAGAAAGAAACATTTTCATTTTTGGGTGAACCCTCCCCTTTAAATTTAAGTTGTCATCTCAGAGAAACATTAAAGGAATGTTCTGTGTTCAATATAACTTAAGCTGTATGTACAGTATCTGTGACATGCTGTTGATTATCAATAAAAACAATTTCAACTTGTCCCCCAGTTTGTAAAAACATAACTTAAAATGGTGCTGACAGAAATCCACTTCCACTGAAAGCACATGACTGTCAATGAGTTGAATTTATTTCTGTGGAAATCGACAGCAAGCCACAGATGCTGAGAATAGAGCTTATGATGAGGAATTAACCATTAAATTCTTTACACCTGTCCATATTAAGGGTGCACAAGTAGCATCTGTAGAAGTGTTATTATGGATTATGGACTTGTATTTTGGCCAGAAGTTTATAGTTAAATTGTCTCGATGGATTTGTTTCTTATAAAGCTTTTTGCTTCACAAGTTAACTGATGGACTGGTGTGGATTACTTGTGGATTATTGTGATGTTTTTATCAGCTGTTTGGACTCTCATTCTGACGGCACCCATTCACTGCAGAGGATCCATTGGTGAGCAAGTGATGGACTGATAAATTTCTCCAAATCTGTTCCTGTGAAGAAACAAACTCATCTACATCTCGGATGGCCTGAGGGTAAGTTCATTTTCAGCTAATTTTCATTTCTGGGTGAACTATTCCTTTGATTTTCAACCAGGACCTTATAGAGATGAACTGTTTTTAAAAAGTACAAAGTACAATCCAATCTAAACAAGTAGGTCAGTGCGAGCAGTCACAAATCTGCTCATGACATTTACAATATCCCCTTACAGTGCTGTCTTTCCACAGGCTGGAAATTCTCTTTGTTCACGTCATCTACATGTCTGTGCATGAATTTATACTTTGCACAGCATTTTTCCATCGTACATATTTCTGCTGTTATTAGCTACCATGACAATAATCTCAGAACACCCATAGTCCTTTTGCTGACCTGACAAGCACTTTCTAGCATCTCACTGGTTGATTTTTAACCTCGGGGAGTAAGGGCAAATTATTCAAAATAATAATGATGGTTTATTATTGCAGTATCATCTATTTTTAGATGAATCTGCTTCTAAACAGGAAGTACAAAACAATTTGTCCTTCATGACTGCCTGTGACACTAGTTTTGTGAACCCGTGCATGTATGAAGAAGGATCCCTAGTTAGTGAGGGCATCTGCAGAGCTGTCTAAACCTTGACAGCTCCCTGCAGTTAAATTAAACAAGGGGAAACTATTAGAAGAGCAGCAGACCTCTATTAAAGGAAATCCAAAACATGTCAAAACACATTCATTCATCTTCGCCCCCTTTTTGAGCACAAGCGCAAGACATGCTTATACTAAAACGGTAACGGTATTTATATTATTAAAAGTAATACTTCATAGACTTAGTCAATGTCCATGTAAAATAGCACCATAAAAGAGCCATAAAAGTAGTCCATATGACTCGTGCCAAGATTTCTAAAGCCATGCAATAGACCTTTGTCAGGGTCATTTTTTGACAGGAATGAAAACGAGGATGTTATGGATATCAGTACTCTGTGTTTAATGTATTTAATGTATTGTACTGTTGTTTAACAACATACCAACTGTCCAGCTGACGAAAGTTCTTTCTGAAAAATCTTTCAGTATATAAAAACTCCAAAAAACTCTTTTGAAAGTTATGAGTTGTGAAAATGATTTTGTGATTTTGTGAAGGTGATTTTGGACCATTATACAGTTTTAGCCGCGTAAAAATCAATATGCCGACTAACCTGATTAAGGTCTATAGCTTTGTGTACTTAAACAAATTAAACATTTTATTAACTTTTGATTATTTGTTTGTTATTTACTTTGTATTACACATAAAAAAAATAGCATACGAGTTTAGAACAACATGAGGAGGAGTAAATAAAGAAAGAAATTAATTTTTGGAAGAACTGTTCCTCTAAAATCATGATAAAACTAGTAAGAAAATCTCAAATTCACTGTAAAGGGATGCATAAAATATTTACATAAAATCATACTCATGTCAACATAATAGAGTAAAATCTAAAAGTCTGTCTCTATTCTGCACCTCCTGTTTCCAATAGAGTGCATCATTTAGTCGAAAATAGATATGAATGATAATTCCTTCTAAAGAAATGTGAATGCATCAATATTTCTCATTCACTTTGGCTTAAACATCAATTTATCTAATGGATGTAGCAAACAAACAAGCCTCCAGCGCATGGGTTTTCTCATGCACAATAACATGCCGAATATGCAATGGCTTCTGGAGACAGTGAAACTAGGTGTGCGTGTTAAATGTGATGAGCTGAAATTTTCAGGATAATGGTTTGTGATTATAAGCCACAGACCTTCTTTCCCTGTGGGCCTTCTGGTCCGATGTCACCCTGTGGTCCTGGTAAACCCTGCAGGCGAAACATGAAATGGTATGTTACAGTGTCTAGCATGAACATTTGAGTTTTTAGGGCTGTCTAACATTATCTGTAGACACCAAAGCATTATGCTGCTTTATAATACAGTAAAATATAAGTTTAATCATATGTTGTGGGAAATTCAACATGTGTTTTAACATTTACTGCTTTGAAATATATTGAAGCCGATTTCCGCCACAGGAAAAAAAATTGGTAATAACTGTGACTTTTTATCTCACAATTCATTATTGCAATATATACAGGTGCATCTCAATAAATTAGAATGTCGTGGAAAAGTTCATTTATTTCAGTAATTCAACTCAAATTGTGAAACTCGTGTATTAAATAAATTCAATGCACACAGACTGAAGTAGTTTAAGTCTTTGGTTCTTTTAATTGTGATGATTTTGGCTCACATTTAACAAAAACCCACCAACTCACTATCTCAACAAATTAGAATAAGACTTAAACTACTTCAGTCTGTGTGCATTGAATTTATTTAATACACAAGTTTCACAATTTGAGTTGAATTACTGAAATAAATGAACTTTTCCACGACATTCTAATTTATTCAGATGCACCTGTAAACTCCAAATTCTGTTTATGTCTCACATTTCTAAGTTTACATATTGCAGGTCTGAGTTTACATCTCACAATTCTGTTTTTTTTTCTTCTTCTCAGAATTGCAAGAAAAAGTTTGAATTGTGAGAAACTCAGAATGACTAAAAAAGTTCAAATTGCAAATCCATTTTATATATTTGAATCCTGTTTTGGAAACAAGCTTCCATGGTAATAAGCTCTCACGTTTAGTTTAAAATAAATAAATGGTATGTTTTTAGTTTGAAATTCATAGAAACATCTGTTTCAGGTGATCTAAATACTATGCTAAATACAGGTGTAAACGGCTCGAAAACATTCTGTAATTGGATCAAACCACGTTTGCATATTAAAAAGCGAAGGACCGCATACTCGCATTTCAGTCAACTACACAATGAAAAGAATTTGGTGTAGGATTTACTTTTAAACAATTTTCACTCAGAAATTGCTAAATTTCACAAATAATTGACAACTTTGAAAACACTTTTCGCTACAACACTTAAACTGTAAACGGTAAACAATGTGATTAAACATTTTGGACATACATACTGTATATGTTTAAATATACAGATGGATGTTATATTTTAAGATACATATGAAATAAATGTATAATCAGACCCACCTGCAGGCCTCTGGACCCTTGAGTACCAACTGGACCTTCAGGACCCTATCAGATGGTACAATATAATTAAACGTTTGAAACATACTGTATTACTGTGTTCATTACATATTGGAGGAGTGTGCAGAAACTGTAACATCTGAAGTTTTACGCACCCGGTCTCCTTTGATTCCTGGAGTGCCACATTCTCCTCTTTCACCCTATAGACGGTCAGAAAAGATCATAGTCACAACAGTCTCATATGATTGTGTGCTTCAAAATAAATATATTATGAAAATATATAATGAATAGGTGCAGGGATTTAGTACTTTCTCTCCTTTGTAGCCTGGTTTCCCCTGAGAACAAAACAGTAAGACATTATTTTTTATTATTTTTATTTATTTTTGTTTTATTTTTATTTGTTTTATTTTTTATTTTTATTTTTTTAAATTTATTCTTGCATATTGGTCAATGATTTGACACTAATATACTGTCTGGATCTATTAAATTATTTAAAAAATACATAAAATGCAGTTCATACATACATGCATACTTGACAACAATTTAAACTTGTGAATTAAGGTTAATTTTAATGTGTGTTTTTTAGGCTTAATGTCAATAATGTCTAAGTGGAGTAACTGTCTGGAAATTGTAATGAATAAATCTTGGAAAAAAATTCAAGTACTTTGAAATAATCTTTTATTAATGTTACAGTAAAGCAGTTTTGTTTTAAAATAAAAAAATTCTGCCAAATAAAGGTCAGTGTGATGTAATAAAAAAAAAGGAAACCATTATACCATATGACAATAAAACCATAAAACAGGAAATAACATCACAACCAGTGAGTGGTATACACACACACACACACACACATTGTATATATACCCACAATATAGTGTGTGTAAAATAAAAAATATATAATTTTTTTTTACAAAATTATTTGTTTACAGTTGTGTACAATATTTAATTACTATTGTTTTGATGATTACACCACCTGACATTTGAAGTTTAGAAGACCTTTTTTTCTTTTCTTTTTTTGTACATACTTTTCATTTTACCCAAATAGTTTTTCAGTTATTTAATGATGTAGCACAATACTTGAAGCTTAAGTAGTGATTTTGTGTCCCACCCATCAGCCCCTCACCTCTGTACCCTCACGACCAGGAAGTCCACTCAATCCAGCTGCACCCTAACAAGAGCACAAAACATGTGTTTTTCAAAAAGCGTTATAGAATACAGTCTGTCAGTCTTGATTCCTGTACTGTTCAATCTGAGAAAGTGTTACGAAATCTAAAGTACAAATATGAAGAGACAAATACACAACAATATAACTAGCCATCAGCTTCTTCATCACATTTCCCATGTGCATCCACAGAAGCAAACACACACCAGAGAGAATGACAGATAGACGGCAGTAATGAAAACAAAATGCTGACCTTTTGACCTTTAGCCCCAGCGGCTCCGTCCTCACCTGGACGACCCTTCTTTCCCTGCAGGGGAAAGTGAGCAGCAGTGTCAATACCACTCAAAATGTTTGCTCAATGAGTGAAAAAAATGATTGATCTCATATGTCTGATGGGTTTATTAGACCCATAAAGCTAACCAATCAAAATTCAGTGCCTGCACTTAAACGGATAGTCCATCCCAAAATGAAAACCTGTATGCATTTCGTTCTTCTGTGGAACACAAAAGAAGATTTTTTGAAGAATGTCGGTTAGCAAATGGTTTCAGGTCCCATTGACTTTCATTATAGACAAAAAATGCTATGGAAGTCAATGGGACCAGAAACTTTCTTCTTTTATGTTCATATCTGGGTGGACTGTCCCTTTAATTTACATAGAGGACACATAACAGTTTGGAAAGCCACCCCTAGTTATTTATTTTTATGTCAAGTGTTATTTTAGCATTATGTATATAGTATTTTAATATTTAATAATATTTTGAATGATCTTTTATTCTTATATTTTCTTATATATGCCATGTAAATTTTAGTTTTCGTCATTTTTAAGTTTGTCATGAGTCTGTTATGAGTTTTTGTCATTTGTATTAGTTTTGTTTTTTATTGTATTTTTATTTTTATTTCAGTTTTATTTTTAGTAATTTCAGTACTTCAGCCTAAAATTTGCCAAGTTAACATTTCTTATTTTTGTTAATTTTTTTTTTTACAATTTTCATGTAATATTTAGATTTTATTTGATTATTTCAGCTTTATTTCAATTTTTGTTTACTTTACTTTTGTTTACATTTCTAACCTAGCTACTATTTGGGGACAAATTTGAGATAATTGTGTTGTGAAAGCGCCTGGATAATGACGGTTAGGCATCTGTCAATGAATAACTGTCTCTAACATGATCCGCCCTTCTACACACTACAGTTTAGTTTTATAAACCATGTTAAAAGAGCAATCGGTTTCATATCATTTCATCTCAAGTCAGTCTGAACTTGTTCAATGCATCTATTTTATCAAACTCAACTTGAAGTAGTAACTTTGAAGACTGCATATATTTCTGCAAGTGATACTATGGCATGCGTTATGTGTTTTTAAAAAATGCAAGGAAAGAATGCTAAATAACTGCAGTTATAGGGACAAATATATATATATTACTAAGGCTATTAACCCATTATTGGCAGGTGTGGCATAATGTTAAATTTGGACCCGTAAGTGTTTTAAAGTCAAGGTTTTCAGCGAAAACATGCAATTACATTGTCTTCCGTTTCAACAGACTCAACATGAAGGAGACTTCTTTTGAGGAATCTTATTTTGTGTTTTCCCCAAGGTAGTGCTGAGGGGTCCTGACAAAGACGATAATCATCCTGACTTTTACAAAACAAAGCAGTTATCCAAACTGTCAGAATCATGCCTGTCTTTTCCCACTGTTGACATTCATCAAAGGAATCCGTACCTCTTAGGAACAGAAAAAAAGAGGAGAAAAATGCACCTGTGGTCTGGCCTGGAAACACCGTCCCATGTTGAAGGAAGTTTAAAATGAAAATACTTACAGCCGGGCCACTGAGTCCTCTCTCGCCCTTCTCGCAAGCACACTTTGGGGACAGAGGACACTAAATATAGAGAAAAGTGTGTAAATGAAAAATTCGGTTTTTGTTTTCGTTTTGTGTTTCAATAAGGCTGAGCTGGGGAAAATATTCTTTCTGGCATAAATACACACAAAAACTTGCAAACATTTGACTAAATACATAATTCTATGCAGAGACTCGCATCAGTGAATCATTTTTCAAATCAGTTCATTTCATTTGCTAATCCGAAAGAAATGGTTCACTAGTACAGAGTTTGGGAGGATAGTAAGCTATTCTTTAACACTGCAGTAATGCATATTACCATAGAAGATTTGAAATATTATTTACTTACCCCATCGTTTGCCAGCTGAGCCTGTGTAGAGATGTAACAACAAGAAAATTAGATTTAGTTCAAACAATAGCTGGCATATTAGATTATAATTACTGCTCTTTGGCAATGGCAAGGCTTTCATTTTTGTGGTTTGGGTAAACAGTATGAACAGTTAAAGGGTTAGTTCACCCAAAAATGAAAATAAGGCTGCGTTTTACTCACCCCAGAGCCATCCTAGGTGTATATGACTTTCTTCTTTCAGATGAATCCAGTCGGAGTTATATAAAAAATTGTCTTTGATGGATTCGTCTGAAAGAAGAAAGTCATATACACCTATAGGATGGCTCTGGGGTGAGTAAAACACAGCCTAATTTTCATTTTTGGGTGAACTAACCCTTTAATATCAGGGCATACATTATACAAATCTCACAGAGCAACAAATGTGATTAAAGGAAACAGTATCATTTAACATGCCTAGTCTTGCTTTACATTGGAATTATGTCAGTGTTTCTGCACAAATGAGAAAAATGAAACCTGCTTTACATACATATCCATACAACAGCAGGAATGACAACAAAGATTTATGGAATATATAAACTCAGATGCATGTCAGAAAAGCCACAACAGGACGTGTTTACTCTAATTATAGTAAATGAAGTGTAGAAAGACTAATTGTTAGGTGTCAAGGGTCCCAAAACACTAGCAGCACATAATTATTTTATCTTCTTTAATGTTCAAATACATGTCAAACACTTGACCAAATATGGTTAGCTGGTCTTATCTGGTTTAACAGGTCTCCCAGCCAGACCAGTTAACAAGTCCCCCTCTAAAACCAGCCAACCTGACCAGAAGAAACCAACAATCAGGTGACCAACTAAGACCAGCAAACCAGTTTAGGCTGATTTTTTGTTTTTTTTCCCACAAGCACAGCATATTATTACTGACATATAACTGACACAAAAGACGTTGATCGTCACACCAGAAGAAGTTGACCAGAGTTTGCAATCGGAAATTCCGATTCGGAATATGTTCTAAAATGAAAAGGCCATGTACCACGAAATAATGGCCTGAAAATACATATTTCTATTGAGTTGTCATCGCTGGGTGCATACAATATTGTACAGTGCAACACCATCATCGACTAGTGCAGCCCGACTCCAAGAGAATAACTCTTTTGAATTTCTTTGATTCTTAGCAAATCAAAAGCAAACAGCGCAATTAATAACCATCGCAACAAATAATGAGTCTCATGAGTCGACTTGTTTCTTTAAATGAATCATTTAAAAAGATTCAGATGTCTGAATCAGTCTGAGGAATCATATGAATGAACTCACTGGATCTTTCATCAAGTTACAATCACGTTCAGTGGTGGAATAATAATAATAATAATAATAATAATGTGAAAGAAGATAAAACTAACAGAAACAGTACATAACAGTTAGTCATTTTTAGAATTTTAAGAACTGAGACATGAGTGTGAATTTGAAATGAATTGGCCACATCCTACGTTAAGTTGAACTGGAACTTTGACTGGAATGAATACGACCGACTAGTGTAGACCCGATGACTGATACACGATGACTTTTTTGAACCGGTTCTATTTAGTGAATCAACAACATACAGCGCAACCAATAACCAGTGCCAAAAAAAAACCTGAGTCGGCCCTTTAAATGAAACTACTAAAATAAAAGATTCAGTAGTTACTGTAGCTACCGTTTGAATCAGTCTAACGGATCCTCTAAATGCACACACTGAACCCTTCAACATTAAGTTACACTCATTTTCAAGTTTATATTATTAATTGGCTGTGTGAAAATGTATGATATTGAATGATTTTGTAATCTACTAATGGACAATAAAACTAAAATATGCACAAATTAATCAGAATCAAGACAAATCAAAATGAAATCTTGTGAATTGAAATGGGATCAAATCTGTATACCCAAATGTGTAAAAAGGACTCTGCTATGTAGTTGGCTACTTCTCTGCTGGAGAAGTGTTAGTAGCTTATAACTTTTACTCTTCTGGAGAATCTGGAGACTTCTTGCATTTCCTGCACTCATTTTAGGTAAACAAAAAAACAGTGGAATTCTGTGGAATGGATTTAAACATGTTAAAAATTAATACATGAAGCTGAATATACCCTTATTGGTAGCTGATGCCAAAATAATGAATACACAAATACTCTAGTCTCAGCCTCAGACGTCACACCATGGAACGTTGGCTGAACGTCTGATGCATATGGCACACAAAATTGGAAACACTTCGGGAGTTTCGAAGTCGTCATCGAATTGGTTGAATTATACAGGATTTCTGGGAGATATGCGTGTCGCATTCTTTAACGTTCTGCCTGGAAACAAATAAGCCATGACGCCAAACCCCCTCATGTTAGAAGAAAGCCTGTGATACTGAGCGCTTATCAGGGTCAACTAAACGCTGGATTTTTAAAAGTATGTGAAAGAAGTTTGTGGCATAGAATCTTTAAAATATGCCCAAGAGTTTTACACAAGAGTTTTGTTATTGTGGGGACATTTCCACGCCTCTAAACATTACGCGGCACAAACCGAAACGTGATTGGGTGCTTTATCTGTCAGTCATATGGCCTCTTGGGCTGTCCTTGCCATTCAAAGCGGCCAAGGTTCCCAGACCTTCTGCCGTCAGTCTGAAAGTCTGGCTATGCGAGACTACAAATACTCAAGTTGCTGGAATGAGTAGAATTTGAGCAGTTCTGGAAATTTGTGGAGAATTTTGTGTGGGCCTGCCTATACATACAGTATGAGGACAGAATGAGTGATTGGAGACATCATACTTACAATCTGAGTTATGACTTTTTCCATGACGTTCGTGTCCTGTAGATTATAGAGGAATTTGGTGGTCGGTGTACTGGCCAGCAGTCTCAGGTTTGCTGTGTTGGCAGGTTCATTGGCGCTACGGGTGATGCCAATCGTGAAGACTTTCACGCCCTGGTTCTTTGCGTCAGCCATAGCAGAGAAGATATCAGGGTTTCTGGGATGAAAAGACCCATCTGTGAGGAGCAGGGCAATCTTGATGCTTTCTGGGCTCGATTCTTCCACAAATATCTTGGTCATGTTGGTGATGGCGTAGGTGGTGTAAGTGCCGTGGCCGATGTAGGCCATCGGTGCGATGCTGCTCTTGAAGTTCTGCGAGCCTTTCCACTGTTTGAGGGTCTGCTCGATAATGACGTGGCTGCTGTACTGAAGCAGGGCCGCTCTCCAGCTGAGTTTGCGATCTGTATCCAAGCGGATGCTCTGGAGGCCTTCTATAATGTCCATAGTGAACTGTTTCTCCTGCTGGTGGTTGTCCTTGGCCGTCTCAGAGCTGTCCAGCAGGAAGGCCAACTCCAGACTGCATTCCTCATCCAAGATGGCTGATGCCACAGTGAGGGAAAAAAGAGAAAACGGTGTTAAAGAAAAGTTCAACTATTAAACAGTTGGCTATAAATCTAAGAACTGACTCCCTTTTCATTTGATTGGAAATTCAAAGAAATTCAACACAGTCAAACAACAAAGGAAATTCATTAGTCCATAATACGTTTTGTGACAAAACATAAATACTTGAGTTATACTGACTAATTATTCATTTATTCCCTGTTATGTAGAATATGATTCAACATATTTCTCTTTACTAAGTTAAATATTGTCATCAATTTGCACAGCTATCAAAACCACAAAATGTTTTCACATTGTTTTTGGATTTATTAAAATAAAATTATAAAAATGAATGTATAACATAATCAAAATTTATATATAAATATATAATATTTTATCAAATATTGAGTAAATTAGATATATTACATATGAGTAAGTTAGATAAAGTAGATCATATTTTATACTATATTGAGTAAATTAGATAATTGTGGGAAATTAAATGTTCTATAAAATAAAAGTGCATTTATGAAAATAATAAATAATAAAATATAATAGTCAATAATAAAATTGTGTGTGTGTGTGTGTTTCTGGAAATATATAATATGTTGTGCTTATGATAACGTTCATAATGCATAAAGAAAAAATAAATATTTTATGAAATATTGAGTAAATAAGATATATTAGATATATTGTGTGAATTAGGTAAATTAGCTATATAATATTTTATAAAATGTTGAGTAAATTATATATAAGATATATGGAGTAAATTAGATACATTACATATATAATATTTTATAAAGTATTGAATAAATTAAATCATTGTTGGAAATTAAGTGATCTATAAAAATAAAAGTGAATTGATACACACACAAAATAATGGCCAGGAAATACATATTTCTAAGCAGGACACACACACACATATATATATATATATATATATGTGTGTGTGTGTGTGTGTGTGTATATATATAATTTATTTAAAAGTGTATAGTTAGAAAATAATTAAAAGCAATCAAAAAGTAGACTGACAGCATCAATATGCATTTCTTTGCATGTCGTTCCATTTGTCATACTTCATTAAATTCAAATTCCACATCCTGTTTACAACCTCAATTCAATCTGGAATTTAAAAAGCAAATTCAGTTCTGAATAGCCCTGCCATCTATCTGGCTATCTGTCTGTCTACATTTCTTTTAAAAGTTACATTATTCCAGGATGTTTCAGAAAATGTCAATGTTATCTTAATCCTCTAAGTCTCCTAATGATCCTTTTTGGGTTCAAGAAGCAATGCAATCTGTCATCTGATCTTACTTTCAACACAGCAGCTCATCAGTCTTCATGTCACCGCTGACAAGACATGACCTACCCGGTCTTATACAGATATGAATAAATCATGTTCATGTTAGGAGAACTGAATGCCTCAGGGCTCCAAAATCACTACATCCAGACATATCCTCCTTCTAGACGCTCTTTAAATATGCTGCTATGTCTAGTATGTCGTAACATGACATTGCATGTTTTAAGGCATAAAACTAGCTTTATGTTTCTTAGACAGCATGAGATGTACTGAAGGTGACCTATAAGTTTATAGCACATACATGGTAAGACACTCATTAGGTGTCAAGAACAAGCAGCATTTAAAGTCAACATTTGCAACCCATTTTAGCCTCATAATGTGACATATCTGAGTGAAACAGGATATTCAATGAGAAAACATGTAGGACGGGACTTGATCCAATTGATTGGATCTTCACAGTGGAGTAAAGAGGGTTTTAAAAACCAAAAAATATTAATTCACTTGCATGCATACATACTGTCACATATTAACAATGAATGAGTCACCTCACCTTGACCGTCATTTTTTTGCAAAATAGCTGCCGTCTGTCCCCTGGTCTTAACTCTTGTTGGCCCGTTTTTTTCCTCATAGAAATCTTGAGCCCAAACACTCAGCAAACCAAAACACAACAGAGACCAGCTCAACGTATGAGCCATGACTGCCACTCCTGCAAAAATAATAATATATTAGTATCAAAAACTTGAAAAGAACATATCCAGATCACAATTGACCAAAAAATCAAAAGACAAAAATAAGATTTAGCATGAAGAGAATTAAGCTTATTTTAAGGCCACTGATTATGTGATATATTTACTTTAATACATTACAAAAAAAAAACATTTATAATAATGCAAATTTAAAAATAAAAAATGTGGAGGAAGAAGTGCTTAAATGTCATGAAAATAATGCAATGCAAAGATATTTTTTCTAATTTTCTTTATGTAAAGCACATTTTCTTTCTCTGCAAGATCACATTTCATGCCAAAATCAAAAGACGAAAATAGGATTTTGCATGAAGAGAATTAAGCTTATTTTAAGGCCATTGATTGTGTGATATATTTACTTTAATACATTACAAAACCATTTATAATCAGTGTTGGGGGTAACGCATTACAAGTAACGTGAGTTACGTAATCAGATTACTTTTTTTCAAGTAACGAGTAAAGTAACGCATTACTTTTTAATTTACAAGAGAATATCTGAGTTACTTTTTCAAATAAGTAACGCAAGTTACTTTTTTTTTTTCCCTGTCCAGATTTAAAAAGTAACGCAAAAGTAACGTAACGCATTACTTTCCATAAAAAGTAACTAAGTAACGTAATTAGTTACTTTTTTATGGAGTAATGCAATATTGTAATGCATTACTTTTAAAAGTAACTTTCCCCAACACTGTTTATAATAATGCAAATTTAAAATAAAAAAATGTGGAGGAAGCAATGCTTAAATGTCATTAAAAAATAATGCAATGCAAAGATATTTTTTTTCTAATTTTCTTTCTCTTCAAGATCACATTTCATGCCAAAACCAAAAGATGAAAATTAGACATTATATTTTGCATGAAGACAATTTGTATATATAAAATGGCAATAAGAAATTTGGCAAATGGGAAATGTCATCAAAATAATATATTATATAATAATATAATTATTCCCATAACTGTGAAAAAAAATTGAAAAAAGTATTTACAGAACATTAAAAGTATTTGTTTTGATTATTTTACTGTGATTTCCTTTCCTTTAATATGTTACAAAACATTTATAATAATGCAAATTAAAACATTTGTAGAGGAAGCATGCTTTAATGACATGAAAAAAGAATGCACATGCAATACAAAAAGATCATTTTTTCTCATTTTCTTTATGCAAAACACTTTTTTTTATTTTCTTTTTGAATTAATGCATTTCTTCTCAAACATGAATCAATAAACCGTTAACGATTTCCAAGGGCACATAAAACCTATAATTCACACTGATATTATTTTTATACAAACCTGCTTGGCATGTACTGTACATTATGGTAGTATATTACCTTCCATAGAGACTTTATTACCTGACTAAAAATGCAAAGCACAAAGACAGTATTAAAAGAAACACTCATATTTTTATTAGATGTTGAAAAGTGACTCACCTTTGGCAGCAAAGCCTCTTGCCACAAGCGAGCAGCGCAGGTGTGCAGCTCAGCGTTCCTCAGGTGACGTGTGAGCGAATGAAGGAGGCTCTGAAGTGAAGTGCACTTCTGTCTGAGTCAACAGAAGTAGACGGCGTCCTCAGGCTGTGTCACAGCCCATTTCCCTCCCACTTTTAAGGGGAGGAGGACCCACCGAACTCTTTAGTTGTATTGCATGTCTCCCCTCAAGACTGCAAAACAAGTGAACCTAAAAGCGTACTGCAATATTGCACTATAGATATGTCTCATGTACCTTTTCCAATTATTTCATTAAAGGGGTCATATGATGCTGCTAAAAAGAACATTATTTTGTGTATTTGGTGTAATGAAATGTGTTTATGCGGTTTAAAGTTAAAAAAAAACATTATTTTCCACATACTGTACATTATTGTTTCTCCTCTATGCCCCGCCTTTTTGAAACGCGTCGATTTTTACAAAACAGGTAGGTGTGGCTAACTCTTAACTTTTATAAAGAATATCTCTTTGGATTTGAGACTTTAGTCTTTGCAACTTTACAGATCTTCTTTATGCACCAAGAGCTTGTAACACTCTAAAGAGAAAGGAAAAAATGAAATCGCATCATATGACCCCTTTAAAAAAAAAATCCACTCTCAAAAGATATGTAGGCCTAAATGTAAGATTTATGTATTTGAATTGCACATAAAATGTCCTTCCATTTGGACGACACAGTTTTAAGATAATATAAACCTAATGTGATGCATACTTGTCAGTCAACCATAAATGAAGCAGGTAAGATTTCTAAAAAACTGAATGTTTTAAATACGTAGCAGCCAGGTTTATATATTTATCATGAATTAGTCCAATTTGTTTCAATCTTATACAATTGAATTAATTGAATATTGCTTATTGAACTGCTCTGCAATTGTTTTCACAATTAACAGTTTAATGCTGATTCTAAGTGATTTGAAGGAATGCACTTTGAAAATATCATTTACATAAAATCAAAAATGCAAATAGTTAATAACTACTTGATTTTTTTATTTTTATTTTTAGTGCAGAAATCCTAACTGTTTCATCTGACTGACAAATATGCATCACATTGAGTTAGTTACTGTGTAATCCAAATGGACGGAAATTTTATATGCAATTCAGATACATAATACATAGGCCTAAATATTATATTCAGATCATTAAAAGAATAATTGATCCACAAAGGAAAATTCTGTCATCTAAACCACTGTTTTTCATGAAACCGAACTGCTGAATTGCAAACACAAAGCTATAGCATGACTTCAGAAGACGTGCAATATAGCGCACTAGTCTAAATATGGATTACTTTTATGATTTTGTTCTGCCTTTTGGACCCGAGTAGTTCATCATGAACTGTCATTGTGAAGTGAACTTGAATAGATATGTGGATGTACAGATACTGACAGAACTATTCTACTGATTTGCTACTCCTGGTTTGGGCTTTTATGCCACAAGGCAGACTTGAGATATATGAGATGAGACAAACAATGGGGAATATGGGTGGAGTTAGTTTTACA